TTAGGGTTTAGGGTTTAGTTGTCGTTTCCCATTGGGGTTTCGGCAGGGTCACAGACAGCTGAAATTTCAAGAGCCCAGCGAAGGCCGCCAAGCAGCTGTTGTTGACAATCACTCCGTCGAAGGCCATTGGGGTTACCATGGGGCCTAAGGCGTAGACAGCCTGCGAGAAAGCATCCGTGATTGTAGTTCCCGGCAGGAACTGCGGAGCACGATTGGCAATCCGCACGCCCACCGTCGCCCCCTCCACCACGCAATGCTGCAGGAAGGATGGCACCGTGTCTGAGATCTGAGCCTGAGTCTTCTCCAGGGACCAAGAAGACACTCTACAGCGAGTGGACTGAAGGGATTACTTGTTGATCCTCCGTTTGGAACTTTTTCCCAGAAATATCTAGGACCTGGAAGCTCAAAGAAGCTCTCCCTTTGGTCAGGCGAGGGGCGGTGAACTCCAGGCCCTGCCAGTAGGTGACCTGATCGTCATAGCGTGTCAGGAGCACCGGGAAAGCGGAATCGCCTTGACACTGGAAGCTGCTCCTGAGCGGGACCAGAGGGTAGGCGCCTTAATAATTAGAATAGGGACTACAAGGGTTACTATAAGGGATACTATAAGGGAACTAGTTTTTAGGGACCCTATGGCTCAAGATCCATCGTACCGTCAAGGAGGAGTCTGGGAGCTTTCTGGCATGAACTCTTTCCACAACTTCAAAAATGGTATTTTCGGCAGGGACCGAGGCTCCCCGTGTCGAACGTCAAGCCGGCACCCGCAAAGAAGCGCACCACGACGCCAGGCTGCACAATCCTTAGTGCCAGGAAGAAAGATCCCTCTCGTTGCCTGAGAAGATCTACGATCCCGACGTAGACCCCAAGCCTCAAGTCGTACCCAAGGGCCCAACGTAGTTCCTTTTTGGGATTACCTTATAGGATTCTATATACGAATCCCAAAAAGGAACTACTTCGGGGCCCCAAGTCGTAGAAACCGCGACAAGCGGGAAAATGCTGCTGAGGAAGGACGCAGCTTCAACGAGGCTCTGAAGGCGACCTGGCTTGGTGCTGGGATCTCTCTCTCTCTCTCTCTCTCTCTCTCTCTCTCTATATATATATATATAGCTATGACGCAGCCCTCCTTTCTTACAATGTTGCGCTGGGCCTACAGATCTTACCGGTACGGGCCGAGGCTTGGGACGAGTTCAGGATTGTGCGTACGAGAATGACTAATTTGAACCGAGTGACATTTTGCTCCACGATGTACGGAGACCCTTCGAAGGTCCACAATGTCACCGTCTCGACGAGGCTGCCTGGAATGAACTTTCGGCTTCGGAGCTTGGGAGACTGATACGTCCTTTGACTTGAAAAATCTTCCTTCAGGTGAAATAATCGGTCCTTTGACTTGAAGAGAAATCCTCCCCATATAGAGCATATGCGGCAAAGATACTGTTGACCACCGTTTGCGCTATGCACTGCCTTGCAGGGATGGCGACCGGGGGAGCGGTCCCCACAAGAGATTCGAAAGGGTTGGTTTGGGGTTTAGGGTTTAGGGTTTAGGGTTTGGGGTTTTGTGGTTTAGGGAACGGGGTTGCCCGAGCCTCAGCAACAGAAGTCCCAGCACGCATTTCGAGCGCATGCTGAAACTATCCCGACGCGCCTAAATCGATGCCCCGGGATCCAATAAGTCTTGAACCGTGAGCAGCATGCAAAATGAGTCCCCAGCACTTCACAGCAGGACGATGTGAGCTTCGGTGTACCATGACGCCCCCTACTTGGACTCCAAACACAACCTGTGGCCGCTCTGCAAAACATCCTCAAAGCGGCATGTTTAGGGTTCAGGGTTTATAGGGTTTCGGCTCCAGACACAACTTGCGTTCTGCAAGACTCGACCGGATTAGCCGCCATGGAAGGGCTTCTGCCAGGTAAACCTCCCTTTCACACTCTTCGAAACCAGGACTGCCCCCGATCCATCCTTTTTGGTCGATGTCCTCTTGGCCTTCAGCTCTCTACAGTCACACTGCCTGTAGAACTACAGGCTGCGCACGACTTTCTTTGGATGCTTCATGCGGAGCTGCAGGGAAAACTGCGTTCGAGCAAAGATCCTACCAAACATGTACAGTAAGTGGTGCTGGAAACGACCCGATCAAAGTGACATCGGTGGCTTCGTCTCAAGAACACACTGCGTGAGTCGATGCATACGAGGGCTTAGGGCTTCCACAGGCTCCAAGGGTTCAAAGCAAACTACTTGTCGAGACCTTTTCGTCTCGCTTTTGCAGCTCAAGCATCCCGAACCTCGCAGCAGCCTCCCCTCAAAAAAGGCCAGCATTTGTGTGAAGACTCCGGGGAACTTCACCTGGCTCACCGACTGAGCACCCGATTCTGGGCTCTGGCCATGAGCCTACCGATCGAAGGCTGGGACAAATCGAGCACCCCCGTTAGGGTTTAGGGGTTTAGGGTTTAGGGTTTAGGGATACGTGGCATTAGGCTTGGAACAGGCTTGTAAACACTGTGGATGAATGCTCTTGCCTCCGGTCGTGTCGAGGGAGGTGTGACTTACTCCCGACATGTCTTTACCTGTGCTTGCATCTCCACTAGGCCTCTTGACAAACTTATGTCTCACATCACAGTTTGATTGCCCAACACCTGCCTAACGCCCAACGTACTGGCCTCAGTAGCTGAACTTACGGACTTGGATCTTGACTGATCTCTTGCCTGCTTTGTGACCGAGTGCTACGTGGAGTCCACACCCAAATCTCAAAGATCCTCCAGCCAACAACTCTCCACCCATCGCCACCTCAAGCTTTAGGCGCCAGAGTGTCGGTAGACGCTCAGCAGCCGCCTTTGCAGAGTCAAGAACGGTAGACGTGAGTATGCTCTCGTCATAGGATATACGGCATGGCATTCAGTGCTGCACACAGCTGGCTATGCCAGTGGCGGGCAGGGTTTGGTTCATGAGGTACGAGCTCGATGCACGAGAGGTGTAAGCAAAAAGGTGAGCCCACACCTTGCTAGCAGCCGCCACAACCGAAGGCTGGGATTGCAAGCTAAGTTTGGAGATATCGGTCTCGACATTTGGATCACTCTCAAGGCCCCCAACGCACTTAGGCTCCTTTTGATATTAACCACCTACTGGTAAAAGGCACTTTCAGGTATGCAATTTCTTGGGAAAGGGGAGACGGCTTGGCCTGCACCTTCTGGCCAGGCAATGCTCCCTACCCGTGAAATGATTAGAAAAGCTTACTTGGGCACTACGAGCACATGTGGCACAGCTCCTTTTCCCGTGAAGGAGGCTCGCACTCCGCGACTCTTGCAAAGGCCGAGTCCGCACGCCAAGCCTGGTACAAGAAGGCCCAACATGTATGCTACAGTTCCATTTCGGGAGTTGTAAGTGAAGTATGTGAGGCTGGATGATCCATATCAGTACGACAGCGTGATGTTGATCATGGACACTTCTTTGGGACTCCGAAGCAAGTAAGCTGGCAAAACCCATTATCCTACACCGTAACCCTCATCATCAAGCAATCCATGCTGGAACTTGTACGCCACAGTGCCATGGTCAGTTCTGGGGTCTGGATCTAAGTCTTCGTGGCAGAACGTGTGGTTTGGAACCAATAGAAAGATTATTGAAAGCGCTTCAAGTTTTTGTCTCTGAGCAACGCGCCACCCGTGCCTGAAGTCGTGCGCCCTTTGCCACTGACAGCTTCTGATGGCTATGTGCAAAACGACTACTGTCCTGATACTCGGACCGTTCCGTTTGAACCGGGTTGCCAGGATGTACATCAGCGGCATGCGAAGCGACCGTCCCTGAAGCCCACACATCACCAGAACTACCGAAATCCTAAACCCTGAAAACCGAAACCCTAAACCCTAACGCCCATGAAATAACATCCTTGAAGCTCCCCATCAAAGACCGCACCCAACACCATCTCCTGCAAATGTCGTTCCCCACGCTACGCCTTGACGCGAATCTTAAGCTGGGGCTTTTCATCGTTGTTCCTCCGGGCGAGGCGCTTCTGCTAGTCGAGCGCTCGGAGGCAGGTTTAGGGTGTTTGAGGCCTGCATGACATATGAGATTAAGGTGCTTTGTTGTGTTTCTGTTTTTGAAGGATGTGGGGTATCTTATAGACCAAATGGAATTGGAACCCAAGGCACAGCGTTGCTAATCTTTCGTGCATCTATATTGGGCAGAACTCAGCAAACCTTCAACGCTGGATCAAAAACAGGAATCTTAGTTTGGTGCAGTTGCACCTATAGGGTCGCAACCAACCACCCCGTTGTTTCAGAATAACTAACTTCAGGATCATGGTATCTGCTATATGCAACTCTAAGGCTCAAATAAAGCAGCAGGCTATGAATATGCTTTGCGACTATTTTCAGGGAAAGACCTGTCTTGTCGGCCAAGCTGGATGCTCGGAGTTTGCTTCCCACACTGGCCGTAACCCGTAATCCCAGCATCCCGAAGCAGCTCAAGCTTCTATTCCCTGGGCCTCTCAACCCGAAGATGCAACCCGCACCGCGGCTAGATTTCATACCTACCGATCTGAACGGCGGTCGTTGTTTTGCGTGATTTTTCGGCAAAGCAGCCCTGAAGGGCTCAAACCCCTCTAGACCGCCACCAAAACGAAGAGACACTGATGGGGTCCTCCTGCAGCTTCAGCACCTCCTGACCCCGGAAGATGTGATGTTGCGACCGAGGCTTTGAAATCAAGAACTCTTTGCAGCATTTTGAGAACAAGCACAGCCCGTAACTCAGATCCTTCCTGTTCCTACTCTTACATATGAAAGCTTCCGGCTGTGGTTGCATCTGATCTTGTGCCTTGTGAACAAGAAAAGGACAAACGTAGGCATGGGGGTTTAGGAAGTTTAGGGTCTAAGGACGAAGATGCGGAAGCTTCCGATGTCTCCCAAAGCCGCTTGAATCACAGAGACGGGCCATGAAGAAACTGGCCTGGTGGAACCCTGGCAAGAAAACCCTCCAAGCTCCTGGAATCCCCACGACGCCTGAATCCCGAAACCCTTCACTCCTCCCCTCCGGGCGTCGATGAGCTCAGAAGCTTCTTTGCGGCCGCAAGCTCCTGCGAAGGCTCCGCTTGCAAGGATAGAGCAAGTGTAGGGCTCATCAGAGGATGGTCTATAAGAGCAAGGTTTAGCTTTGTGGTTGTGGGGCTTGGAGGGTTTAGTCATTCAAATTTGAAGTTGCCGGGTAAAGGCTTCAAGAGGGGATTGCTTTTAGAGTGTTCCGAGGCTGAGGTTGAATCTGGCCTTGGTGGATCCAATTACGATCAGGCACTTCGGGTCTGGGATCGGGGTATAGACGAAACGATGAAAATTAGAACGGCTCTTCAGACCATGCGATGTCTAACATGGCTGGGTGAAAACACTAAATGACTGAGCTGGACAGCCACCGTAAACCACCGATTGTAAACCTCAAGCCCAGTCCAGAGCACCCGGAAATCTCTTACAATATATGTTGACAAAGATCCTCTTGGACCCCTGCACGGGTGCGACAAAAAAAAAAGCACAATACCTATATTACACTGTGGACTTTGTGCGTTGTCCCGGTAGTATTCGGCTGCCAAGGTTCGGTCCTCCTGCAGCTTTCGCAGCTCCTGAGCAGGGATTGCGCTCAGAAACCTGGGGTTATCGGGCCTTCTATGGGTCTACAGCCAGTCAAAGGCGATATTTGGAGTGCCTCCCTTGCTGACACCCCCATGGAACCCTTAGGTACGGGTTCCCAAACCTAGAAAAATCCTTGAGACATGGATTTACCGGGGGGGTTGATTTCAGTTAAGGGGGTTGGACTATTTTGCTCATATAGGGAAGACTTTGATCAACTACCATAAGTTAAACATCAGGCGGGCTTGGAGCATTTGTAATCGAGGCCGCTAAGGCAATGTTTGTCACGCTTTGTACGACCAATAGCTACCCCAGATTGCTAAACCCTAAAGCCCTAAACCTTGAAACCCTGAACCCTGAATCCTAAACCGTAAATCCTGTAGGTTTGGTCTCCAACCGTCCACAGAGCTTCCCGACTCTTAAACCTCTGTGCGCAAGTCCTTGTCTTTGTGATGTTCGTCACTCTTCCCTCAGTTGCACATGTCATGCAGACTCCAAGCTTGCACAGTCATGCAACTCCACTCGCAGCGGTTGTGAACCTGACACCTTATCCTTCAAATGGCTGAACTCTCAACAATGCTCGTTACACCTTTTATCGCTTGATCAACCCCGAATCCTGGCCGACTCACACCATGTACAGACATGCTTCCGTGGTTGTCCTCCGACTTCCTCTTGTTCCTTGGGCGCTGTCATGAACGGGGGCGGGGCAATACCCCGGCTGTACACACCCCAATAATACCACGATCACAATCCTTGTCCATGGGACTTCCAAATCCGTGCCCCTAAATCCTGGAAGCTCCACAAAGAAGTGTCTGTGTATCCTTCAATCCTACCTCTGGTTAACTAGATGAAGGAATCCCAACAAACGACTCCTACAGTACAATAGTTTTCATTGCCTCTACCAGGGGTAAACAGTTGCTGGGCCGGCCTCCTCCTGATGTCTTGCTTGTCGTCGTCATCGCCATCTTTGCTTCGAATAACCTTGGAAATTGAGTTGGGAGTTTGTGCCGAAAAAACCCAAAACTGAAGCCCTAAGCCCTAAGCCGAAACCCCAAGGCTTTAAGCCGTAAACCCTGAACTAAAACCTTCAGCCCCTAGACGCAACTCTGAGACCCCCGTTGCTGGGGCGCTGGCTCTTGGAGCTGAACCTGGAGATCCGTAGCTTCTTTGCAGCTCATCTTCCCCCTCTTCGGTGCATTGTACCACCTTCCGGGGCCCCGGATTTCTTACGGGTGAGTTGGTGTTTAGAGGTTAGGGTTAGGGTTTAGGATAATTTTGGAATTATCTACCGCTACGCAAGGATTAAGTGGAGCTCCAAGGAGGAACTGCAATCCGGAGAGCGCCCCGCCTCCTCCACAAACTTCTCAAAAAGCGCTGCACGCATCTTTTCCGTCTCCGTGAGGTAGTTAGGCAAACACTCCACGAAAGGTGTCTGAAGCACAGAACTTGCCAAATCCTCTCCCTCTTCATTTGCTCGATCCTCTCCCTCTTCATTTGCTCGATCCTCTGTTCCGGCATGTGTTTGACGTTGCTGTGCTTGAGATTGGCGTGGTTTCTTCTTGCTTTCACGCTTATTCTTCGAGAACTCCTGCCAGAATTTCTGGGCATCGCCTTTGCTGTCTTCGAAGTCACTATCGTCGCGGCCGCGGTAGTCTTCGAATTCCCCTGAAACAGACCAGTATGACCAACAGACTTTTCGCAGCAGGCCTGAGTAATACAGGAGCGCCTCTCCACGCCCTTGCGGCGATAGCCGGCAAAGAGTGCTGAATAACGAAAATAGGATTGCTATCAGCTTGATCGGTTCTTGGAAGTGCTTGCCAAAGCTGTCCAATGTACTGATGCAGATTGGTGTCAAGGCAACGCAAATACATTCAACCCACTTCCATCCAACACTCCTGCGCTGCTCTTTGATGCCCATGATATGCAGCACATGTGCTTTCTTGATGGTGTTTTCGAAGAAGGCTCGCTGGCTAGGGGTCAATCCACGCAAGGCTTCTTCAAACGTCGAGTCTTGTGTGTCGCCTAGGTATGTCCAACAGCCGAGGCATGTCCCGCGGGCGGTGCTCTTCGAGTGTAGACTCGGAAAGCGGGCATCGGCGATGCTGAGAAATGGATCCCTCATGTTCTTGACGGCAATCGCCGCGGAAATCTCAATGAAGGCATAAGTCCTTGGCCCAGGTGGAGTAAGATCACCATCCAAAACTGAAACGAACATCCTACCAGTCCTACCATCAACAAGAACAACAACGCCGACAACGTCAACTTGGCACGCGCGTTCGTACCGCAACACTGACGGGGCGACATGCTGAAAAAGTGGCTTCGGCCATTTTGGGAAGAGACTAGCATGAGTTCAAGCGCGCAAAAACCCCGAAGATCACGGCCACTGCTCCGGAAGCGCGCGTTTTAGGGTGGCGCAACTGCCCATCGCATCCGGTAACATGTGTTCGACCAAGAGTCGGTTGACAAGGCTAATTAATGCTTAAGCAACCATGTTTTGGGCATAGATGCCTAAATTTGGAGCATGGATGCTCTTGTAGGGCTGGATTCTCACGGGCTTGACCGTGCCCCTTGCCTTGTCCAATCACGGCCATGTGCAGGATGACAGTGCTATCCAATCACGATGAAAACCATGTACACTGTATACCGTCAGAAGGTCGCAAGCTGAAATGCAGGTACACCAAATTGATCAGTTCGGGCTTCCCTCTGTGATGCACGGCTTCGTTGGGTACGGTAGCCTACGAGACCCCAACCCCGCTGGAAAAAACGCAACGCACTCCGAATACTCCAAGACTAGACATGAAGCAGAAAGACTACCCTTTGTTTATCTGTCAGGGTGCAGCAACAACAACAGCAGCAACATCGCCAGGACCAGCACCAGCAAACAACAAGCTGCAGAAAACGAGTAGCAAACAACAAGCAAGCACACAGCAAGCAGCAAACAGCAAGCAGCAAACAGTGGCAGCAAAAAGCAAGCAGCAAGACAGCAGCAGCAGAAACAGCAACAGCAACTACAACTCCACCTCCAACCCCAACTACAACCGGCCACAAATGCATCGCCCTGCGGCATACATACGGCTTACTTTGCATGAAACTACCGAGAGTCAGTACATAGGCAACACCAGTTGTGACCATCGCCAGGGCTACACGCAAGTAATCCTGGTTGTCCCATGGCCACTTCCGCTCCCCCGTGTCCTTCGTCGCCAAAATCATCAACTCAAAGTAATCCACATACACTGCTATTTAACTCCCGCTTGCCCATGTTCATTTCACACGGCTCAATTTCGCGACCATTATCGGGGAATGGGCTGCATGAGGAGTTGTCCTTTGGCTGAATCCAGAACCACGACCTCTGCTGCTGCGATGAAAGAATAAAGCTGACCAGACATAATTTAGGATACAATGCATTAATATACGCCTTGATGCAGGGATATTCAGCTTTCGGGAGAATCAGTCCCCCTTTTTCCCTCAAGGCGATCGCGGTCCTCGGCTGGCGAAGTTGTTGTGGTCTGTGCAGCCTGACCAGTCCCCACATTTGGATCTATTGCTCTAGGGTCTAGCTTGGAGGGATGCCACTTTGGGGGCCATGGGGCCCCTGGCTGTTCAGGGTTTAGGGGTTTAGGGTTTAGGGTTTAGGGATTAGGGTTTAGGGTGATTGTCGTCACACTGTCAGAGTGGTGCTCTGGAAAAGCGCAACATTGGACCAGCACTCGCACTCGCAAGGCTTTGACTACACGCCATGACGATGCCTCCGTCTGCGTCGAGGCTGTAGTTACTGTGGTTTCAGCGACCTCCGTCTCTTCCTGGGCTAGGTGTAGACACAGCGGCCCTCCAATTCACTCTTGTGGCTCTTTTTGAAGATTATGTGTACAGGGGCTTTGAACCACCATAAACAAAAAACATTCCTGAATCAACCCCCCTCGGCGGCTGGGTTCTTGACGGGGTGTTCTGTTAAGCTGTCCCCGGAATCCTCATATTCATGTGGACGCAGTGACATGGCCAGGTCGAGCTGGTACAGGACCACAGCCCTTGGTTCACGGCGACAGCAGGGGATTGCGGAGGAGGGGTTTCCTTTCACGAGAGCACGCTGTTGCTGCTGTGTATACCTTCTTGGATGTGAGTGAAACACCATCATCACGTTCTGGTTTTTGATTGAGCTATTGTTGCCTCCCTGACCCCATTCTGATGCGTGCAGTGCTACGGCTTCACAGTTTAGGAGTCCATGCGTGGGATTGGCAAGGTCGGCGCATAGTGAAGTCCCGTTGTCATCTCATGGCAATCCCCTTTGCCTTGGGATCAGCTTTCAAGCTAAGCACACGGAAGCCAGCGACCTTTGGCCGAGAATCAAAAAGCCATGTAGGTGAACATGCCGAACCATGGACAGGAGCTGGCACGGCCACTCCTTGCTAGTGCTAGTCTCCGTCCCTGGCGAAGCAGAACGGGCGCGTGTGTTTGCCGAAGGCTTCTCTTTGGAAGCCGCCCGCTAGGTACGAAGGACCTGAATCTAGTTGCCTGAGCCAAGCATCCTACAGCCGGTCTGGAAGTTTCTCAACATGATTCCTGTGTTCCCCATATGCTATTTAACCCTGACTGGATGGGGCTTCCTGAAATCTCACCGCCTACCGCAGCGGATGATGCTGGACGGTCTAGTCAAGCGACAAAACATGTCGGCAGGCTTGACTAGATGACTAGCGAGTGAAAGCAAATGTCTAATCCAAGTCACCAGCCCCTTTGAAAGAACAACGGAGCTCAGCTTGGGAATCTGAGTTCCCTGCGTCCTCGGAAGCACCACCACCTGCACTGTCCACCGGCAAACCGAGCACATGCTTTCGAGCCTGTAGACTGCAGAGCCCATACACCAAGACCGCTACTCAAGACACAACAACACCCAAACCGGCTGAGACTCCTCCAACCACTTCAAGTCCTGCTGCTGGCTGCACTCTGCAACGTCAAGGATGCGAGGCCTTCAGCCGAGAATTGGACGTCGAGCAGCGACCAGAAACCAGACAGCGCGCCATCGTAAGATTTTGCACGATAGCCGTGCAAAGGACGAATGTCCCGGAAGCAAGAGGTAGAGGACAGAAGTCCTTCATGTGTTACACAGCCTTCGGCGAGATGCCCTCTGCCGCAGCGTGGTAATTATCGGGGCAGGGAAAAAATGCGAAGTGGGTCCAACACACGGCGCCTGTGAACCGGCCGCCAGACCGATCCCTGGGCATCCCTGCCCACAGTCGCCAGGGCTCCTGCACAGCTCTGACTGCCTTTGGTGCCAAAGTCCAGCTCGCTCAGCTCACTCGGCCCAGAGCGGCGGGTCGGGAAGCTCCAGGCACAGGTGGAACCAGACGTCCCACACCGTGCACACGATCACGAGGCCTCAGTGGCATCCGATGGAAGCCGCGTTATGCCTGCAAGCACATGTCATGACTCCCTTGAAACATACTTTGTTCATTACAAAACGATAGATATCAAGCTTTTGTGTGCATGTGTCGTACACTGTTCGGTAGCAATCTTTGGACAATTCCCGAAGCCCGCCTGTGAACGTGAAATCATCAGGAACTGTCCCGCCGAACTCCTGCTCGCATCGATGCAGCTCACGAGAGATCTCGTCTCGAAGCTTTCCCAAATCCGCTTCACTGAGTTTTACCCACTTGCAAACTCGAATCACCTGGAAATTTCTCAAATACACGGGAGTTGGTGTGGGCATGCCAATTTTGAGAAATGTCCCGCCTGATTTAGCTTCGCAGAATAGCGCAAGGAATTTCCCCAGGCTGTGTTCTTTCTTTGGACAGCCTCCTGGAAGACCGCTCTCAGGCCCTTTGCTGTGTGCAACTCCCTCATTCTTTCGTCAGCTTCTTCGATTGACTTTTGCAACTTGGCCTCCCATTGGGACGAGTTGGGGTCTGACCCGTCTGCAGCTTGCAGGCTCTGCTGCATACTGTGCTTCATGATGAGCAGCCGAACCACGTCACCGGCGCTATACACCATGGCACTACGCGAGAGCACAGGACTTTCCATGCCATCGCCAAAGCTGGGAAGATTCTTGGATAGCTTTACATCCCAGTCTGGCTGGAACTCGCTCTTGCTGGGCACCAGTCCTGTCAGCTGCCTTGGAACCTTCCGAGAGCTCGTCAGGTTCTCGTACGCCTTGTCCATGGAGCACCTTGACCCCCCATAGACTTTCTGCAGATCTGCGAGACGCTTCGGGTAGATGCCCAGCTGGTGCAGAGCCTCCTGGTCCTTCTCAGCGGCCCAAAAACACTTGCATATCGAATTTGTCTTCATCAGCCGCTTCACTGCGTCCATCGCCGCTTCACACTTGGGATCCACCAGAAAACACTGGATCTGGGGGGAGCCCGTCGCGAGTCCTTCTAGCCCCTGTGCCACGACTACCCCCCCGTTATGCATGTCTGTCTGGGGAGCATCGAGGAAGACTACATGTACCGCGGTCTCTTCGAGTGGGTCGTAGAATAGACATTTTGACATGTTTGTTTGATGTTCAGTCTCATGTGTATTATATCCAAAGTTACGTCCATGTCGTAGATTTTTGACCCCCGCATAATGCCACTCAAAAGGTCTTCAGCTACACCTCCCACACTCCCACAGCTTTACATATTACATTATGGGTGCGGAGATGTCCTTCTCCAATAGCGAGCTGGAGGACCGTAATGTCACCTCCGAGGCCGAGCAGGTTCCCCTCGAAGTCTGCGCAGATGCAACCGCCCGAAGATGCCACAAGTTCTTCCACTGCCTTCAGACTCGCAGACATGCAACCTTTGAAGGGCGGCACGCCTTCTGCAAACCCGTCCCGCTCCGAGAGCACGTAGACGGTGGTGCCGGGCAGCGCTGTGTCGGTGAAGATTGGAAGGCCTTCCAGCCCACGCCCCTGACGCCCAGGCTGTGACTTGCAAGGGGTCTGTGCCCAGTTGAACTCGCTTACCTGCGATGGTCTCCGCACCGCGAGCCAGAGGCCGCCGATCTTCAGACCTTCGAGCCAGGCATTCCCGGACCCGGGTTCCCCTGCTGCTCTCAAGTCCTTTTTCTGAATCTCCCCGGCGAAGAAAGCCTCGAGGAGATGAAACGCCGAGGCGAGTGATGCTTGTGATTGCCACTTCTTCCGCTCCCATTTCAGCTCGGGGTCCAGGTTCCGGTGCATCCGGTGCCAAGCTTCACCTTTGCCATGCAGGTCGATGAAGTCCTGGATGCTTCGAACAACAGCGCCAAGCCTTGACAAGTCCAGCGTCTGCCCCCAGCAAGGCAAGTGTTCTCCGCATTTGGTCCCCTCCACCACCACCTTCAAATCCTTCGGACAGTCCCAACCACAACGTTCCCAATAGCCTTGCCTCTCTGTCAGAGGATAGATCTGCGGGCCGCCTCTGACCATCTTCTCCACCACGTGCTTCAAGATGGACCACGTGACTTGTACAGCGGAGCTATTGAGGAACATCGTACCTTATATATTGCAACGAAGAGTGATGCGACGAGGTCGCAAGCATGCGCTACTGCACCTGACTGCATCTTCTGCAGCTGAGGCGAGCACAGACCCGGAGTACGAACCTCTCATAAAGGTCACTGCTGGCTTTGTCGATCGCTCTGTCCGTAGTTCGAACAAAATCAACGAACATCCATAGCAACTTCTGGAGATCATCGCGTACCTTTTTGGGTGGTCGGCCTTCCTGCTTGCCTCGTGAAGTTCGGATGAAGCCCCCGGCTTGCCTAGGCGGCCACGACATCTCCGGATGCCAGGGGTCTGTGCCAGGAGAAGTTCCATGATCGTAAAAATGCAGGTCATCGTGACCCATCCCAGCCTCTCCATGGCCAGGCCAGGGCACAAGAGCTGCAGGCACGCCAGGAAAGGCGGTTTGCATCCAGCCAGCGTGCTCTTGCTCACCGAAAGCCTCTCCATGGCCAGGCACAGGCACAGCTGCCGGAGCTGCCAGAGCTGGCTCTGGATGAGTGGATCCTCCATGACCGCTTGAGAACTGATCAGGAGACGAAAGAACTTCCTGAGTTTGCTCTCGGGAGACAGCGGAGACAGCTGCCTTCCATGTCTGATCAGAAGCAACATTTTGCCACCATTCAGATAGCTGTCGGCAAAGCTCGGCCTCCTGCTTGGCAGCAAATCCATCGCAGTGTTCCAGGAGCGACTTCAACAACCGAGCGGCATCTCTTTGAAGAGTCCCTGTCTTCTCGTGCAGCTCATGTATGCTGTTGTCCAAGCGGCTCGTCATGTCAAGCTCACTTTGCATAGTCTCGAAGACCCTTCTTTGCTCCCCCTGATCTGTGAGGCCTTTAAGCTCTTCGCATCTCTGTTGCCGGATCCACTGCTGCTTTTCACTCAGACGGTCTAGCAGGAACTGGAATGGGGCAGGGCAGGAGCTGACTTCTGCTTCCTCAGGCTGCGCTTCTGAGCTCAGCGAACCGGACGGCTGCTGCCCATCTGCCATGGCTATGAAACTTCGACACAGCAGATGCTAGCCAACTGAACCATGACCTACTCAAGTGGAGAACTGCTGCTACTTGCAACCGACAACGGGGCTTGGTTGCGAAGAAAGGCTGACAAAGCGGCTTTCACAAACAGGAACCAACAGCACTCAATACATGCAAAAACTTCGAGCCGTGAAAGCAACGCTACACTTCACAAGAGTACGTTCAAACTCTCCTTGACGTCTGTCCGGCACGCTACTTCAGGTTCAGCTTTGTGACCGATGACATAACGTAGTTTTGCCGTTCTCCCATGTTCAAAGTCTTTCACTCTGCAGTCTGCTTTTTTCCCTCTGACACTGCACACGCTGCTGGGGAGGTCAAGACGCCCTCTACTTGTAAGTGTCGAGATGCTTCGACCCTTGACTGACTTCTGCCTGGCAGGAATGACCCCTACAAAACCCACCGACCCACAGAGTGCATCAAAAGAGGATGAAGCTCCAAAGCGCCGGAGGCAGGAGTGACAGCCATGGTCCCGCACGCTCCACGACCGAACACACACCTCAAACTTGGGAACTGCGCAAATCAAGGGAAGCTCAGAGCTGAGATTCATGCGCAAGCTCTTGCTGCCAAAACCCACTCCATCTCAACAACCTCCACACACCACCACGCTGGTGGAAGTGACCACAGAGAACGGGTCCCAGCCCACCCGCACAAGCAAGCCGCGAAGCGAAGCTGTTGCCGCCTAAGATCTCAGACCAGCTCTCAGAAGACAAAGCCAAGGGCAGCTTTGAGAAAGGCACCCTAAACCCTAAACCCTTTCAACACTAAACCGCGCATAGAGAGGGAGTACAGGCAGCAAACCCTCCCCACCCAAAGCCGGGGAAGCCCGCGAGGCGCCAGACTCGGGAAACCAAACCCTACGATCCTGGGCCGAGAGATGCAGGTCTGCAGGAATGGTTAGGGTTTAGGGTTTCGGGACCGGGGAGTTAGGGATTAGGGATTTTCGGTTCGCGGCGTGAGGTTTAGAGTGCGCAGCCGAAGAACTCGGCATCAGTAGCCTCCCCTGAGCTGCTCGTCCTCCCCTGGAGCAGAGGAAATGCCTCTTAACACGCACCCAAGCTCCGTAAAATGTGGCGCTGAGCTCTTCAGGTGCTTACGTCTTGGTTGCAATCGCCTGCATTATGGCCTCGCGGCTTTGGGAAATGGCCTCGCCCGAAGAGCCGATCGTATTTCTTGCACTTCAATTCCTATGACATTCATTGCCAAACGCCCGGCACACTTTGCAGAAGAGAGCTGTCAGCCCAGATTATGCAAACGTCCCGCAAAGCGGTCCTCCTTTGAAGGATACCACACTCTGAGATCTCGATATTTGGGCACTCGCCGTTTTCAGCAAATCCCACCAGGAAGATCGCTGATCTTCAATAGCTTGGGGCTTAGGGGTTTAGGGTTTAGGGCAACCAAAAACCTGCCACTGGACCCAGTGTGGGCAAGCGCGGCGGAGAAGACAAGGTGAGCGACCATGCAGCCTTGGCAGAGCAAAGAGCGCCTGAGGCTTTTCCTGCAGAACCCTCAAAACCCGGAATACTCTACCGTTCGTAGGTTGCTTACTTACACCGCCCAAGACTTTATGGTTGGAACCCACCCAAAACAGCCACCAAGCGGGTGGCTTCGAGCCTTGGACTCAAAGGAAACCTGTCTCAGGCACATGGAAGCTCCCTCCTGGAGCCCCGGGCCTCGATCCCTCATTGCTGTAGGGTTTAGGGTTTAGGGTTTAGGGTTTAGGGTTTAGGGTTTAGGGTAACAGAACTTTCCTTTCAAGGAAAGCGCAGCTAAGATCTTCGCGAGGACCTTCGAATCTTTGAGGTCTGGAGCACTACTGGTTGCGCCGAGGCCTGCCTAGCGCTCTTCAGGCACTGGCTCTAGCTATGAACTCGAGACCCAAAGCTCAAACCCCTCAGTGTACTAAAGGTCCTGCGGGCAATCTGAGATGAAGCCTAGACCCTCTTTGCCAGATGGCAGGGTTGCTTTGTTGGGGTCTGGGGTTGGGCTCTGAGCGCTCAAGCCACGAACTTCAACGCAGTTGCAACACCTGCGTCGCTGACATCAGCGGCTGCCAAGTGAGCCAAGGAATGCATTCGGGGCACCTGTCCAGACCATCTATCTCTACTCATCTGCTTGCGGCGGCCGCCTTGAAACGGCAGCTGCCTTGCTGAGACCGTTCCGCTCTGCAAGAACAATTCCTGCTTGGAGCTCAAGACAAGGACTCGGCCTAGAATCGCCTCTGCGCCTGTCGTCTCCCTGCTTTGTGAAGCGAAGGACGATGAGGGGAGAGTGGCCTTGGGGCGGCCCCAGGTCGACGACGAAAAGTGCGGGCTCCTGCGACCCGAACCAGGCCCAGAGCAGGAAACAAGGTGGACGGAGTCCCAGTCTTCGGCATCGGCCTATGGAAATACACCGTCTCAAGCCTGCAAGACTTTCGTAGAGACGCCTGGAGTCTGGCACTCAGACTCAACGCGGTCGTGTGTTCAAGGCTTTGCAGAGCCGGCGCCTAAGGCTAGTGAGCCAGTGCACAGATCCGATGTCCAGATCTCCTCCTCTGCAATGAAAATGTCTCGGCTGGTGGCTCTTCAAGTTCCATTCTTGGCCGTTAGCTTCAAGCTCACAGAATCGCAGGCCTCGGGCCAAGGCCTCCAGAAACCGAAGCAGCGATTGGGAGTAGTGCTTCCGGATGATGTGCTGGCCTAGAGCTCAGGCAATGTGCACCTTGGTCGTGCGTACGACGTGAACAAAGTTGACTTCTCTTAGATGGTCGCTTTAACGAACCCTGGAAGACGGCGATGTACCTGTCCTGCGTCGCCTCAGCGACAATTGGCAACGATCGCGAAAAGCAGGCCTGATAATCCGGAAAGCTTCACCGAAAGCTATTGGACGGTTTGGGAGCTAGTTGACCCCGAATACTGCTTCGGTGGCAGGTCGCTGGACATGAGAGACAAGAACTGATTTTGCCCCTCCCACAGGGAAGTGGGGTTGTATTGAAGCGGGATATTTTTCTGGAATTCTGGTTGGATGGGAGCATCCCTGTGTTTTGGTGACATAAACGGCTACAGTGGTCCTGTACCATAAGCCTTCCTGGCTTGGAACACTTGCCTTCATGAGAGCCCGTGGTCTACGGCTTGCCCGCCGAGGGCCGAGGCGTCTGACCTCAAAGCAGAGCCGCAACGCCCTCAGGGCTCTCAGGGTGCACTGCTGCAACGGGAGAGCCCAGCCGTGCAGTGGCAGGCGGCAGGCCTTCTCATTCCGGCGCGATCAATATCCAGACAAGCCCTGGGCCTCCAAAGTTCTTCAGCCGCAAAAGCTGGCATTCAAGACTCTGAGGTAGACCACAAAGCCATGTCTACCAGTCTACCCTTGCCGACTCGACGTCCTCAGGGCAGTGAGACTCAGCAGTGCACTCAGCAGAGCTCTTACTGGTCCTTGCTAGCAGTCTGCACCTCGTGCTCGTGGGCCTCTGTGACAACACTTGCTGCGATTCGGGCTTGGGGCCACCACGAAAAGGCCACTATGAGCCTTTCCCAAAGGCTTAAGCTGAGCATGCAAGAAGCTTATTGATGCAGTGTTATACGGCCACATACCGGATGGCTTCACGATGCCAGGGTGGAAGTCGAAGAAGCAGGAGCAAGAGCTTCGTTAGCTCCTTCTGTGCTACTTCCTCGCCTTTGTAAGCGCGGGGGGCCATCAAGTCATGCTTTGCGACCCCTCCTCGTGTGCTACTTCCTTCTGCATGTTCAAAGTGACCGACCGTCATGTAAGATCTTGTAAGAGTTCGAACCCGTGCACTTACCAACTTAGCCGTCCTGAAGAGTGTTCAGAAGCTTTTTCGCAGCTCTAAACTAAGTGCAGTGCGACTCATGCGCAAATGGTGCCATCGTGCGAAAGCTGTGCAGCGTTAGCAACGATCCCATGTTTGGATTGAGGATGGGTGGCCAATGCTTTCCACGAGCGGAGACAGGCGTGACCTGC